AACTAATCTATAAAAAAAATCGATAAGAATAACTATAACAAAATCGATAACAATGTCGATACCAAAATCGACAACAAAGTCGATAACTAATCGATAACAAAATCGATAACAATATCGATAAAAATATAACAAAATCGATAACAAATCCAATAACAATGTCAACGAAAATGATCGATAACAAAATCGTTAAAAACATCGATCACAAAATCGATAAAAATATCGATTAGTTCTGAAAATATTGATAGTAAAATAGACAAACATTTCGATAACAAAACCGATAAAAATATCGATTATTATATCGATAAATCCCGAGAATCCCGAAAATCTCTAAATCCAGTCCTTTTCTCTATATTCACCCTTACTTTAATCTTTCTTCGTCTTTCTTCCTCTACCTTCATCTTTCCTTTTTGCGGAATCTTCATCCTCATCTTTTTCTTATATTTATCATTATTTTTGCTTTGAACTTTACTTACATTTTTGTATTGGTATTTGTGGTGTTATTCGTTAACCTTTTATTAACAAGTTTTTTTTTTAATTAATACCATGTGCATCTTGAGTGTATGCATCTTGTTTCAGCCCCAACCATTTCCGTTGCATCATTTCCGTTGCACCATTTCCGTGTGCAATTTCCGTTGAGTTTGCCAATTTACTCCCAACCAACCAACCGCTGCTAAAGAAGTTTCACTTCGATATGTAATTTCCTTGTATAAGCTGTCGTTCTCTTTCTCATCTCCCTCAAAATATGCAGTGAACTCTGCTGCGAAAACTTTCGATTCGTAAATGGGATAAAGTCGTTTCTTTCCAGCAAATACTTCCGCAATTTTTATTATCACTTTGTCAAGACATTTTCAGCAAACAATTACCTGTTGAAATGGACTATCAACACAAGCGTATTGCACTTAAACTTTAAGCAATTTGGGCCAAACATTTCACCGACCCACTTGCATGACAACAATTCGGTAGAAGTAATGTTTAGAATATGCAAATAGAGTATTATGCGTTGGGTATGCTGGAAAGTGAGAAACTTTTTGGCAAATTGACATGTGCACGTGCATTTGTATATTTATACTAAGTTTGGATTTAGACAACCATATTATATGCAAATGAAATGAAATGTATGCAGTAGAGCAGGTAATTTACATTCTAAGAGAAATAATTTGCAAATATTCAACCGACTTGCAAATCGAACTTTTTGGTAATAAAACTGCTTAAGTAAAAAAAAAATAGGCGTACTTTTAAGAATAAAAGTAAAACTCACATATGTCAATGTACATACGAGTAAGAATTTTGCCTATACTCGTAACATTCGAAAATTAGATTGATTCGTTGCTTTAGTGCCTATCCACATTCCAGCTCAACATCTCCGACTTAACCGCCTCCTCTTTTATGCATTAAGCAGAGTTGGCAAAGTTGCTAACAGGCGTGACGGTGTATAATGTATCAGCAACAATAAAATATGAGATCTTGAGTATCAGCCAAGAGCAACTACCCGCTTATTGTAATTCAATCTTTGTTTGTTGGCGAAAGTTCACGCGCGCGTCTTAACTTTGTGGAGGCTGTCAACTTTCGTAGCTGAAACTTAACTCCACTGTTTGGTTTGGTTAAAATAAAACTTTCGCGAAGATAGCTGAGAGTACACAGTTAAGCTAATATCATGGATTAGAAGTTTCACTGCCTTCAATGATTGTAGTAGCTTAAAGTGAAAATAACAGTAAACGAGAGTGTTTTGAAGCCTGGCAGAAAAGCTGAACATAAATTTTGGGTACTTTAAAAAGTTGGCTTTATTTTTATTTTTTTTTTTGATATGTTTAGATAAATAAAATTTTATGCTTTTGCAAACTGGAAGTGAAATATGTAGGATAGAAAATTTCAGAGGACTATTAAATTGTAAGAAGAACACACATGAGAATGAAGAGCAATAGCTGAACATGTTAACGGGTTCTTTACATGGTTAAGGCGGCCGTTGTGTGTGTAAATTTCCCTATTTAATTGGCATTTTATTTAATTTTGTTTTTGATTCAGTAGTTTTCCTAAAGCATCTAGATCGATGTGAAAATAATAAATAAATACAATTTTTTTATTTGGAGTGGGAGTGGAGCAAGAGCGGAGCTCAGAGCGAAATAAAATACCGGAGCGGAGCGAAGAAAAAAAGACTTTCGCTCCGAAGCCCTGGTGCGTCAAGGCGCACTCCACAAGTCGGAGGTGAAGCTCGGCCAAACACTAACATATGTGTAAGCGCCAATATATTATTATTAAGACCTTATTAAAAATTGCTGTAGCATACTAATCTAAAAGAGAACAGCATGAGTGTACCAATTTCCATTTAAGCAATATGAACTCGATTCACGTTGATAAGGGAGAGAACTCGTTATAAAGTCGTTCTTCAAAATGTATTTTAGTTTTATTTTTGCTCGCATTTAAAAAAGTAATATTTTTTAGATATTAATCTAGAGAGATCTAATTTATCCAATTATTTGAAATGTTGAGGGTTTGCTGAAAAATTAAATATGAAAAAAAAAAAAACAATATTTCCTTTTTTCCATTTTCTTTATCTCATTAGAATAGCTTATTTTTTATTATTTTTTATTCTTTTTGCACATTTGGGTGTATTTCAAATATTGGCTAGATTTGACCATTTATCTTAATTGTTTTTATTTAATTATTTGTTCATAAAAATATCGGATATTATTTAACCAAAACCTTGTAAATCCAAGTTTCAATCTTTGTGTAACATTTGAAAAGATCAAAAACTTTCGTAAAAAATTCGAGGTTTTAGTTCGATTTTTAGAAATATTTTGAGTATGCAGTTTTGTAGCCAATTCAATTTTAGTGCAATAAAGTGAAAGTTTGAGATAATGGGCCTCATGCATAAAAAGTGAGCTTAAGCTCCGACTCGATTTTCAGTACAAATTCTTGAGCTTGAGCTCACCCTTTCAGTGCAAAAATTGAGTCTGAGCTTAAGCTCACTTTTTATGCATAAGGCCCAATGTGTTTATTGAAGGTGTTGTTCGATTCGTCCATATAAAAAAATCGTCGGACATACGCTGTACGGATGAAAATGATTGACATTTTTAACAAAAAAAAAAAAAATTGCCAAATGTTGGAGCTGCTTTAAACTTTCACTTTATTACACTAAAATTGAATTGGCTACAAAACTGCATACCTAAAATATTTCTAGAAAATCGAATTAAAAAGGTCGAGATTTTTATGAAGGTTTTTTTTTGTTTTTTTTTCTTTTAAGATCTTTGGTTTTTCGAATGTTTAATTCAATGTTTGCGTTACATAATTAATTAATTAGTTAATTAACCCCAATGATTTTAACACCTTCCTTTTTTTTGGCGCCGAGTCGTGGAAACAGGATAAGTGTCAAGATGTAAAACTATTCAGCTAGATAATCAAATTCATCAGATGATTGGATTTGCTAAAGGTAGTATTTCAATTACTGAGTGACGAAATGATACTTTCTTTATAGTGAAAATCGAGTTAAACGTGCTGGTGTGAGAGATAAACCTAGACACAAACAACGGAATTATTCGTTTAATTCAAAATTAATTCTGCATGGCTTCAAAAACAGAGTGCGAAAGTGTCTTGATACTCGAGAGAGTATATTAAAGTGTACCTCAACCAGAGCGGATGGGCTATTAATCAAGCCTGTCATTAATTTTATGATAAATATTATATATGTCATTTCTCTACGACTTCCAAGTGTAGGAAAATTATTGAGCTCGGCTAAAATATCGCAATGCATAAATCAAGAACTGTTTTTAAATTTATTCAATCCTTTGTGAATGAGTTTGGTAACCGGGATTCCAAAAAAAAGATCCGTATTCTTATATTGGTCTAACTAAAGTGGTAAAAAGAGCTTTTCGTGAAGGCATTTATATTGGTTCTACATGTAAAGATTAAGAGGTTACTCATACGCCTTTTACGAGTATTTTCGTGTAGGGCTATGTACGATATGGCGTATGAGTAACATTATTTCCTGCCCCTATTTTATTCAAACAATTATTGCACATTTTCATTTGACCATTCACAACTTGTTTATTTATCAATCGATTTTCATCGCCGTTTGAGAACATAATACTCAATGTTGATATTAATTACTTTGGAAAGGTCCAATAAATAAAACTAATGCAAATAATTAAAGGACATGATTAAAAATTCTCACCCGATTCATTGTAAATATGTTGTGGAAATTAGTATTTCTGCAAAGATGGCTGTGATAAAAAAGAAGTTGTAACGTGACTTTAGCAAACCTTTTTTTTCTCATTTAAGTCCTTATGAAATTGCAGTATGCCGTTCCGCAAATGAAAATTAATTAATTGCAAAAACATTTAAAAAGCTTTCAGCATGAATTGCTTTCGAAGTAGTAGTGCAATATAAACTTATCACAGTTGCCTCAAGCATCGGCATTAGTATTTACATACATATGTACATATGTATGTATGAACAAGAACATAGCCGTATGTAACTGCACATTCAAAACGCCCACTGGCATAAACATACTTACATATGGGGAATGAAAAGCACTCAAAGTGTACTTACCAAAACTCAACTGAGAACATTCAACGGCAACCGGTTTTATTCACACAGTACTCATCAAAGCCTGTTCGGTTTCTATCACTTCGCTGTCAAACTCATCTGAACTGCACACAAAAACACCCACAAATGATTCGCCTTGGCATTTTGCTATTAACTCTGCTTTTACTGAATCATAATTATTTTACGCAAACTTTTATTGAAACTAAACTAATTTCCAAACAAGCAGCAGCGGCAAAACAACTTGAGATATTCAGTAATTACAAATTTTATATAATATCCTGCCTATATATCTACATAATATATACATGTGTATAGTAGACGTGACGCTCACTGTTCTTCATATCCTAAGTTAAACTTTTAGTCATATGTGGTTATCATAATTTTGTCCCATTTATGTACGCATTTCTCTGTAAAGTGTTTACGTTTGTTTCACCTTTATTTTGTTTTGTGTTTTGTAGCAATTCATCCGGTTCGAAGGAGACAGCTACGCCGACAACTACACAAACTCGAACCGGTGGAAGTGCGGCAGGTGGCAGTTCTGCTGGTGGTAATGCAGGTGCAGCAGCAGCAGCAGCAGCTGGTTCCAGTGGAGTGCAGCAAGATGCTGCAGCGAAGGAGGATCTGATAGCAATTAGGAAACTGGAGAAAGAGCCGCATGATCCCTTTAGTGATTTAGTACGGCTGGTGACCGGGCTTGACAAGACTGACTACTCACATGTGTTGGTCGATGATGACGGGACAGTGCTAACGGATAATCCAACATTCTCGGAAGTGACTGGTCAAAAACCGAGGTAAGTGAAATAAGTTTGATATCGTGACTAAATACTCGATTGCGAAATGACGCAATTTCATTTATGTGTGACTCCCCAAATTGCAATCGAATATTAACATTAGAATAATCAAATATTTTTAAAGCTTCACTTAAAAAGGCAGGCCAACAAAATGAGACCGACCTCCTTATGTCGAATTTCGACTAGGCACTAAAATTAGGAAAAATGTATGCTATTTAAAAAATCCCGCGTGGAAACAGACATAATGACTATTTTTATACCCGAGCGCACTTGTGCACAAGGGTATATTAATTTTGTTCACATTACGGTTGTTTGTAACAGCCAAAATGAATCGAGACAGATATAGACAAATGTATACATAAATGCTCAGAATGAATAGAGAAGTCGATTAAGCCATGTCTGTCTGTCCGTCCGTCTATCCGTCTGTCCGTCTGTCTGTCTGTCCGTCCGTCCGTGTACACGTTAACCCGAGCAAAAATTGAGATATCTCAACGAAATTTGGTATGTAAGTTTCCGTTAATCCAAGGTAGGTTGGTATTGAAAATGGGCGAAATCGGACAGTAATCACGCCCACTTCCCATATAACGGTAATTTCCAGAAATACGAAAACTGCGATATTTTAGTAGCCACGCCCACTTATGGTTACATGTGCATATCTTGATAACCGCTGCACCAATTTCTTCTAAACTTGGCACAGTTGT